TAGTGATGGTAGGCTGCACTTATGGATTCTTTAAAACATAACTTTTATTTATAATGTTAAGAGCAGATCTGCTCTTCTCTTAACATTATAAATAAAAGTTACGTTTTAAAGAATCTGTGAGTGCAGCCTACCATCACTACTATGTTTATACCGGTTTGGTCAGAGAAATCGGAGTCAGTCTGGACGGATGCCGCAGCCACCTCAGGTTTTGCAGCAATATGGGGAAATGAATGGATGTGGGGAGAATGGCCTAGGGAAATTACAGAAATTCCCCGGTTTAAGGACACATCAGCCTTGTTTGAGCTCTATCCTATCTTAGCGGCAGCAGTTAAGTGGGGAGCAAGTTGGTCCGGGAATACGGTTCGTTGCTTCTCGGACAATATGGCAACATGCCATATTGTAAACAAGGGGCGTTCCTCTTCCCTCACCATCATGCGTTTCATGAGGACTCTCACATGGCTCGCTGCAAAACACAGTTTTCTTCTCACTTGTGTTCATGTGCCTGGGGTTCTCAACATTGCAGCTGATCATTTGTCACGGTCTCGGTTTCAGGAGTTTCGGGAGGCCCTGCCAACAGCGGCCCTCATACCAACTCCAGTTCCAAAGTGGCAGGAAATGATCTGGGACTAAAAGTTCTGCTATGTCAAGGGCGACAACTCTCACAGCTCGGTCTCTCCGATAATACCAGGAAGGCATATGAAAGGGCTTTCCATGTTTTCAATAAATTCTTGTTGGACTTTAATGTCACTGACCAGTTTTCTATGGAAACCATTATTGCTTTTATTTCTTTTTGCCACTTTCGTCTAACATTATCTTACAATACCATCAAATTATATATCACAGGCATTCAACATCACATCCTCACCACTTGGCCTAACAAACAACGCTTTCTGTCGTCCTACCAAGTTAAGGCTATACTTAAAGGCATCAAAGACTCCGCCCCTATAGCCTCACCAACTAGACTACCCATACACGATGTATTGTTTCAGTCACTGTCAAAACTACTAGACACCTCACCCTTTGAAGCTCATACTAATCATGTAATTAAAGCCGCCATCTATCTAGCATTTTACGGGTTTTTACGGCCCAGAGAATTCACTACTACTAGCTATAACTCACCCCTTTTCCTCACAAGGTCCGATCTCATAAAGGTCCAAGATCACTATCTTCTGTTACTGCACCATACCAAAACAAGCGCCCCCGGGCAAACGGTCACTATACCCTATTACCCCACAAGTAATACTTGGTGCCCGGTGAAGGTTTTCGACACACTTCTTGCCTTTGACAATATGGGCCCCACACAACCACTCCTGTCCTTGCACGGCAATAAGCTCACTACGAGCCAATTCATGATGTATATTAGGATATTGTTAGCCCGGTTAGGACTGAACCCAGCCAGCTACTCTGGTCACTCTTTTAGAATAGGAGCCGCCACCACCGCTTCTAAAAAGAATATCCCTGCTCACATTATTCAGATACTAGGACGATGGAAATCTACGGCATACACTAGATACATACCTCAGCCCATACAAGAAGTACGTCTGGCTTTCAAAACTATGAATTTGTAATCTGTTATGTCCGGTTGTAGGACGAATAAATGGTTATCTCTTTTTGCCCTCTTTTATTTCAGGCCTACTTCCTCGTCAGTTCCGGCACACCACAACTGACATTTCCTTTCATGGTTTGTCCTATTTATATAAGTTATACTACGGCTTATGCCCTGACCACAAATGGAAGGCGTGGCCTGAAGTTGTGGGAAGGGCTGGGTTACCCTTCTTAAGGGACTCCAGACCCTTCCCTCACTACCTGTTAGGTGCGACGGATTCTCCCACCCACCACACCGCTTTCATAAGCATTTTATAAGGTAGGCCCTCTTTTATTTCAGGCCTACTTCCTCGTCAGTTCCGGCACACCACAACTGACATTTCCTTTCATGGTTTGTCCTATTTATATAAGTTATACTACGGCTTATGCCCTGACCACAAATATATATATATATATATATATATATATATATATAGAATTTCATAAGTGTACTTTGAGATATATACATATATCAAAATACACTTATAATGAAATCATATATATGCATAATAAAATGCTTTAATTATAATATACATATAGGAAATAAGTGCGTGTGTATGTGTGTATATATATATTTGTGTAAGGGGCAAATAGCCGTTTTTGGAGTAGGGTTCAAGCAAGAACATAGTATAGTATAAATGAGCAAAGTCGGTTGTGGTGTGCCGATACCGACGATACGGTAGGCCTGTAAATAAAGAGGGCCCACCAAGGAGTAATAAAAGTAAAGAAAATAGAAGGAAAAAGAAAGTGTTGAGAATGAGGAGTGGGTGGGAGGGTCATTCAGACGCAGACCTTGATCGGTGTGGAGTCAGGTAAGGGGTGTACCTTATATAGAGGGGGCGATTCAATTTAAGCCCCTCCCACAAATACAGGCCAAACGGCCTTAAATTTAATTTTTTTTTTTATATAAAAACAAAAACAAAAAAAAACCACTAACTTTTGCCAGCGTTTGTGACTAAGTGGCTACTACAAAAGACTGGAAATACCCCATTTGAAGTACCCTGGGTTATCTACATTTGAAAATGGTATGCCAAGATGGCGTTATTTCACATTCCTGGGCTACCATGTGGTCTCAAAAGGCAACACAGACACAGCAAACCAATCTGGCAAGCCCTATATTGACCCTGTAACTTTCCAAAACACCATAAAAACTTATCACGACGATGAAATCACCAATAACAGTGCAGTTTGTGTTTAAAAAAAAAAAAAAGCTAAGTTTGGCCAGTGTTTGTGGCTAAGTGGCTAGTACAAAAGACTGGAAATACACAATTTGGAATACCATGGGTTGTCTACTTTTACAAATGGTATGCCATGATGGCGTTAATTTTCATTCCCGGGCTGCTATATGGTCTCAAACTCAACATAGGCCCAGCAAACCAATCTGGTAAATTTTAATGTGTAAACATAGAAAAGGGGAAAGCCCTACATTCGACCCCTGTATTTTTGCAAAAACACATAAAACCTGTACATTGGGGGCCAGTTGTTGCTGAACACATATTGGGGTGTTCTTTGTCAGTAACACATAACAGGAACTGAGAATCCATGCCTAAAGTACAATGTGAGAGAAAAATAAATTACTACCCAAAAGTTTGAAAAATACATATTGGGGTGTTCTTTGGCAGTAACCCTTAAAGGACCACTATAGGCACCTAGACCACCTCAGCTCAATGAAGTGGTCTGGGTACCAGGTCCCTCTAGTTTTAACCCTGCAGCTCTAAACACAGCAGTTTCAGAGAAACTGCTATGTTTCACTGAGGGTTAATCCAGCCACTAGTGGCTGGCTCCCTGACAGCCACTAGAGGCCACTTCCGCGATTCTCACTGTAAAAATCACAGTGAGAAGACACTGGACACACATAGGGAAGCACTGAGTAATGTTTTACTATGGGCGGATTGAATGCGCGCGCGGCTCTTGCCGCGCATTCAAATCAGATGTCAGCAGGGGGAGGAGAGGTCACCGGCGCTGGAGAAAGCTAAGTGGCTGAAGGGGTTTTAATCCCTTCAGCCCAGCGCCGAGGGGGCCCCTGACGGTGGGGGGGACATAATGACCCTATAGTGCCAGGAAAACAAGTTTGTTTTCCTGGCACTATAGTGGTCCTTTAAAGTTCTCCATACATGTATTCTTAAAATGCTATGTGTGTCAAAAAAATAAATAAATAAATAAATAAAAATAAAATATATAAAAAATAAAATAAATTTATTTGGCATAGATTGGTGGTAAAATGGTTGCATGAAAAGAGTCAAAATGCCCGAAGTTTAATACCTTAGGTTATCTTCTTTAAAAAAAAAAAATAAATAAAATAAATTATATATATATATATATATATATATACACACACACACACACATATGAACGGTTATTCAGGGATTCCTGACGGATATCAGTGTTACAATGTAACTTGCATTAATAAAAAAAGAAAAAAAAAAGAAAAGAAAAGGGGTTGGAAATAGCAAAGTGACTTAAAGGCGAGAAAAACGGTATATATTATGTGTGGATACAGTAAATGAGTAAGAGAAAAATTGCGGCTTAACACAAACACCGCAGAAATGTAACAAGAGCCCTGGTCCTTAACTGTAAGAAAATTGAAAAAAAAACTGTCTGGTCACTATGGGGTTAAAGGGACACTATCGTCATAACTATAGTTTAATGTAGTTGTTCTTGTCTACTACCTGTCCCTGCACGCTTTTAAACGTAAACTTTGTCTTTTCACATTTCTGTGTAACAACTACTCTAGCAGCAGTCACGCAAACGGCCACAATGTGCCGCACTGACGTTAAGACTCTCCGCGCTCTGCATGGAGGCACTGAACATTCCTCATAGAGATGCACTGATTCAATGCATCTCTATGAGGAGATGCTGATTGGCGCACTGCTTTGCTGTATATGCGCAATAGCCATCAATGCTTTCCTATAGGAATGCATTGGATTGGCTGAGATCATCAAGTTTGATGATCTCGGCCAAGGAGGAGCAAAGCCAGCGGTGGCAAGATCAAAGCGGCTCTGGAAAAAAGAGCAGAGTAAAACACCTTTTTAACGGGGGGCCAGAAATGTAGAACTGAGCTATTGGAACCACAAGAGTGAATCAATACTCTTTTTATAGCTCATAAACATATGGAATCCAACATTGCTCTTTCAGCTAATCAGACTTTTTCCATCATTATGGTAGTTTTAGCAATCCTAGAGATTTGAAAAATATGTGCTACCTTTGAAGGTCTAAGAGTTAGACCCTTCAACTACTGCAGCATAATATGGTAAACATTCAATATAAGTAGTATGCACCAGAAAATAATTGAATGTTCTTCTATTACACAGTTTGTATAATTAATTACTATATATCATTAGAAAACACACAGACATCAAAGACACAGTCTCAATAAAAACACAGACAGTGGACACAATTTGAAAATATGTTTTCTCCCTATATTTGATCATTTACAATTTACAAATTTTGGTCATAAGAAAATTAAAATAAAGTTTCATGTGATAATCCTGGCAAAGGCACTAGTAAAGAATTCTAATCTCACCATTTACAATGGAGATCAAATTCAGATGATCCATGAAATGAACAGTTTGTGTCCTGTAAACTTAAAGATCAATGGGGGAGCTGAAAAAAAAAAAATGAAGGAACCTTTCCAATTCCAGTAAACCCATGTGGAAATATATGAAGCTTTAAAAAAATGTGTGTTTTCAGTCACAATATAAATGCTTGGCCCCACATAAGATTGCTTTAAAAGCAATAGTTTTTGTTATATAAGGCAGCATGGTTTACTCCACAGTCAAGGATATTGTTCCGGATAATAATTGTAGTGTTAAAAACCAATTTTTGGTGAATAAGCAAAGTTAGTCTCCCAGTCATCCAATTGACCAAGGTCTAGACCTTATCCATGATCTCCAGAACATCATCTAGAATGGAGGGTCCAAGATCCACATGCAGGGACAGAAGAGATCCAGCATGGGCAAGGATACGTTCTTCCCTCTCTTGCGCTGAAATTCCATTATCTGAGGGGCTCAGTAAAGGTCGAAGGGCTCCTCCTTCCACCTCCTTCACTGGACTCTTACTTCTTTCATCTAGGTGAAGTCGTGGTGGTTTTGGAGGGGGAGCCTGTGGCAATGACAAAGCCTGAGGTCCACCTATAACAGGGAGTGAGATGGCATTCTTTAGCAGAGGAGATGGAAGGTCTGGGTGAGAGGGAGGTGGAGTTGAGCACGGAGAAGAGGCTGAGGATCCAGGGTGTGATCTAGGAAGGAGGTGAAATTTGCCTTGTAAGAAAGAAACATCCCCAAACACATCTCCTTCACCACTACCTATATGAATGGTATGTCTAAAATCTCCAAGTGGAGGACTGATCATGTCTGGAGACAACAGGTCCCTTAACTTTCCTTTACGACTGCCCCTCTTTAGGTAGATTGGGGCTTTGGTTGACATTTTTATAAGCTTCTTCACAGCTGACGCAGATCCTGAAAGTCTCACTCTAGCTTACATGTTGCGGAGTCCAGCTGTAGGACAACAATCAACAGTTTCCTCTATGAAAGCAACAGATGTCTGTACTAAAATAACAAAAGCCAGTGGTGTGACAGAACGGCAAGTCTTTGGATCAAGAGTCACACAGAAGATATGAGAAATTGCAAAATGTATCAGACGTCTTTGAAATCCTGGATCAACTCTTTTGATCAATTTTTACTTGGGAGAAGAAAATCGTTCCACAAAAAAGGAGACTTGTATGCCTTGAGGCCGTTAAATAGCAATGGAAACTTTTCAAGATTATAGGGTTTTCCAAGCGAGAGATTGAAGTCAAATCTGAAAGAAAAAGGGACAGGAGGGTTTACATGATTAATATTGATATAAATAAAATACAGTTTTCAACAGTAACATGCTACCATGTCTTGGATAGTGCACTTTTACAACAAGATAGTACAACAATGAAAAGTTCAATAAGGAACAAGTCAACTTCCAGTAGGTATATAAACATTATTTATACACTATACTGGCAAAATGTACTGTAAAAGGACAAAATATTCTTACTTGCAGCATTCCTGTCTCCTTCAAAAAGGCTACATTGAAGACATGATCAATAAAATTATCTGATCTCACTCCGAGAGGTACATGTTCTTATAATTA